TCGAAACAGCTGTCCAGTGCTTCCGAGCTTTTCAGTTCACGCTTCATTTGCTATATACACGACGAACTCTCATTTGAAACATCATGAATTGTAAAGCCGAAATAAATCATGGGTTAGTGATGGCGTCTGAACGGTATAAGCTGTTGTCACTTGTTTATTCAAGACTGGAACCCCTCGTTGTTGTGATCTGGCTCAATGTCACTTACATCCCAATGAAAAACAAGCAATCCTAGTGACCTNCCTAGGTTACTATTTGATACAACTGATCAGCTACCGGTCCTTTTAACCTGGATGCACGTCGTTTTCTCTCTTGAGCGTATTCGGGTGTCTAATAAACAGTTTGTCAGAGGAAGCATTTACCAAGGTAATGTTGTTTCTTTTTCCAATTTGCCTCCCATCTTCTGTTTGTCCACTGAACAGCTTCCACATTCCGATGTCTTCGACGAACCGCTAAAACCGGGAAGTGATCATTCGGAAAAATCCACCCTTGTTGGGTTAGACGATGCCAATCTATTTGAAGATTGTGCAGAGGATGACGAATTGGGTCTATTTGATGAGGAAATTGTGGAATCCACTACCGGGGGTGATACGTCCTTGGGTCCGGATAAAAAGGCCCGCAGTACCGATTCGATTGGTGACATTGGGGCTATTAGACCTTTGCTACCCATTCATCTACCCGATTGGGCACTTCAATCCGGTCAAGCTGAGCGAGGTTTTCTGGTCTTTTCCGTACGGATCAATCGAAAACCGGGAGCCGGTCCGAACTGGTACCTGGTAGACGTGTGCATTCGAGAAGCTCGGTGTATTCTCAGTCAACACACGGAGCCTCGAGCTGGGAAGTTCTATGTGAAAGCGCGTGTTCAACCAACCGGTATGTGAACAGTTGCCTCTGGTCCGATTATTTTTGTCTCTGTATCAGACATGCGATATGCAGCAGTTCCAGCAAAAGAATAATACTTTATTCAAAAGCTTGCCCAGATGATGAGGAAGCGACAGAGAATAAGCGGTATGGTGCGTTTCCATTTCCTGATTGCAACCGACTCCGCAAACCTAAGCGGCCGGTGTTAGCGTACATGATCCTGAATCCGCCTTTCAAGTTTGGACCAAGATTAGTCATCAACAGACGTCAAGCAATAGATGTCGCAGGCTGTGTTCGGTGTCTTTGGGTACGGGTGCGGGATGATAAAGTGTAATATTATTAAGTGTGTTAGTGGTAGGTGAAGCTCGAAAGTGACTAGTATTCATGTATGTAGGGAAAGCCGCACTTCTAAGGGAATACCCAATGATTGATGCATATATTTACCGAGTATCCCTTCAAAAAGCGTCTTTTCAAACTACCCCAGGTCGTCTGCCTCAGATTGACAACAACGCGTTGTTTTTTCTTTTACCTACCTTCACTCTCCACCTCTCACTTTTCATATTAACGGACGCTGATGATATTGCAGCGTCACTTTTTGCATCGTGCAATAGGCGACTCAATCAGGCATTATATTCGCGAACAGTTCAGCTCCGAGCCGGGACAATTTTTACCAATGAGTCGTTATGCAATTTCCACAGAAATATCTGAATTTTGCTCTCGTAACTTTCTAGCTCTTTCTCTGTTACATCCGGAGTCGGTGGCGTGGCGGGGAGTAGGAGGAATGTAGCTCAGGATCAAGAAGCCTCGTTACGTAACGAATTCGGATCAATATTCGAAGTAAACGAAGGGCATGAATTTGATATGTTTGTTCAATTTTGCATGTACTCTTCATAGTCGACAACATTATCGTTATCGTGTGCAGGACAAATGAAACTGATGTGAAGACACAAATCGTTTAACACCGTCAAACGTTGGCTCAATCCAAAGCGATTGACCGTCTCAGTATTTTCGTGTGAAAAATTTCCGGGACGACCCTCCTCTTTCCTCCGCATGCAACAAATTAGTTCGAGTTTCACCATCAATACAAGTTCACAATATGTGCGCGATGATGTGGCTGACAGCAAAGGTGTTCTTTACTGCACACAAAATCCGGTACCAGCAGAAGATTTGTACCTTACAGAAATCTGTCATCCAATAATCACCAAAATTAAAACCGTGCTGCAGATCTGACTGAAGTAATCATGAGCTGAAGCGTTCCTTCACGCTTCGTAGCCAATCAACTAACTAACCAACCGCACGTGATCTAGCGCAAACTAGCGCTATCCCGGCGGCTAAGTGCACTAAATCCAGCCCCAGTCAGCCAGAGAAAAAAATCGATACTGACCTGATGAGAACACAAAGTTCAACCAAATCGATTACGTATCTGTCCGGCACGTTCTTCCGGATGTCTACGAATCCAACAATCACCAAATTCACACAAACGAACACACACGCACATGAGAGCTAGCTTGGTAAAGCGACTGCAATAATAGTGGAGGCATCGATCCGCAAACCGCTGATTTAAACCCAACACTTTTTTCACCACTTGTACGCAATTACTGACGCATTCCATACGTACAAAGTGGACGATCCGATGCATCATCATCCTCATGGTGTTCAGTTTTAACTTCCGTAGCCGCTACCATTATCCTACACAGGAGACCGCAGCATCGGAGTTCCACATTTTCACAATAATGGCACTAACCTGACTACGCTGAGGATGATGTGGTCCTTGGCATTATTGAATAGGCTAACTTAGCTTACACATTCTGTTCTCCTAGGGTAAATATCTACGTACGACATCGATGGGACGATCAAAATTGCTCAGTGCTATCTTCCAGGGACACGCTGCTTACCTCAAACTTCCCGTTCACCTGCCTCGGCATCATGTGGTCTGTAATGTCCGTGCACAATCATTTCATGTGATGAACAACTTGAAAAAAACACGCGCAAACTTTCGTTCGTTGCATCTGGACTGGATTCTTTACGGGTCTGATTTCAACGAACCTTTGATTTTACCCCAACTTTTATTGTAATGCATCTCTTCCTTTGGTTCAGAGTGTCAGATCCGAACGATGTTCGGGGTGTATCGAAAAAAATTGGTGCGCCGTGTGATATGTTTTATATAAGTTGTAATTTTGAAAACACAGCGATGTCGGTACAGGTGAAAATAAGCCGACGTTTCGATTACCGTAACCTCTATCAAGGCGATTTTACAATCGAATGAGTCAGGAACAGTTTGCCAACTAAAATCTCACGCATTGTGTGTGTGTCTGCGTTTGCATGCAAATCTGTGTCCGTGTCTGTGTGAAGATCGCCGATCCGGATCGGGCGTTGGGCACATCTGTTTGTGCAATGTTTGTCTGTGGTNTATCTGCGTTAGGATGAGTGCTGGCAAGCGATGATAACGCTGTCCAGATGCTTGAAATCCCTGCCCCATCGTTTCGGTTTACACACCCAGGATGGGCACTAATTGCCCAAGCCTCAGCATATAGGCGCTCGGTGTTTGTTCGAAAACCGCGTTGGAGATTTTTTGTGTGTTCATAGTCCACACGATGTCCCTCAGCAATGGCATGATGTGCGATTGCCGAATCTCGTTCCAGTTTGTTGAGCTGCGTGGCATTGGTTGGTCTCAAATTTTCTTTTCTTCAATGTTCAGTGATTCTCACTCTAAGCTGTCTGCATGTTTGTCCAATATATTCTGCTGGCCAATCCTTGCAACGGATCTTGTAGATGCAGTTTCTTTGAGCCTGCATCTGAACGGGATCTTTGACCTAGGATAGCTTGTGTTGAAGTGTATTGTTTATCAGGAAGAAAACCCGGATGTTGTAACTACCGAGGATATTTCTGATTGCCTCAGATGTCCCCGATCGGTATCGTATTGTATTGTATTTGTAACTTGTGTAAGCATATATGCTTACATTTCAGTTAAAAATGTACATTGTTTGTCACGCAGAATGAAATAAAAATAATCAAAACAAAAGGTAAACAAGGTCGGTGATATACGTATCATGTACAAAGCATCTGACGTAGTTCATTTTAGACCTGTTCCTTTTTGGTGAGTAGTCGGGC